CTCGCCACGTAGCTACCTCACATCCGACATGACTTACATCCACTGACTGGAACTACAGAAATTTCTTCTCGAAGCTAGTCACTAGTGAACACACGATAATATTCAGCATGGGTTTGTAGTGCTTGTTGAATTTCGTTAAAATCAAGGACCAACCTAAGTTGAACTACCATTCTAGGATGAAACAGCCGTTCAGTGCTTCCAAATTTTCAATGGCGGTTTAAATTAGATCGGTGTTATAGAGATATGTGTTCAATTTATCCTGGAGCATCCTTCTCTCCACTAAAATAATTACTTAATTGGTTATAAATCATCATTTGTGAGATCTGATTAGCTGACATCCATAGAAAACAATAAGTTTTAATTGAATGTGAGAATTTCATGATTTTTGTGCTTTCGAAACCAATTTATCGAATTCATTTTTCTAGTATTGGATAGTTGAGTTTCTTAAGTTACCTCATATCACAGTGCAAGTTTACTAACTCAATAGCAGTCAAAATTAATTTACTTACCTACTCGTGTTACTCCTCGTGGAGAAAAATGGGTCAACCACCAGCATTCTCCAAACAATTCTGTTCTGGACAATCCTTTCTAGTTCTTTTCAGCTGCTATTTATTTCATGTCTGCTTCCAATTTTCGATGCAGTATGTTCTTCGGCCCTCCTCTTTTCTGTTTCCATGCAGGATTCCAAGTTAGCGTTTGCTTCATAATGCAGTTTTGTGATTTACGTAATGTATGTCCTATCCACCTTCAGTTTCTTTTCCTAATTTTCTCTTCAACTGGAACCTGGTTTTCTCTCCCCCTTAGTAGGCGGTTTTTGATGGTATCCGACCAAAGGAAACACTGAGTATCTTACGTAGATAATTGTTTATAAATACTTGTACCTTTTGAATGATGGTTGTGGTGGGTCTTCATTATTAGGCTTAGTACAACAGAACTGTCTTAAAGTTCATATTAAAGATTCTGACTGAACAAATTCATAGATTTGACATATTATGCAACCAAAAATTGGGCAAAATAAGTTCTCGGTTTTCTTTTTTTTCAAGTCTAGATTGTATGTTATCTGTGGATAATCAGTGAATGGACTAATAATAAATTATTCTATTTTAACTGAGATCACTAACCGATTAGTGTTAGATCACCATCAAACACTTGGAAGCTTAGACTATCGTTTCGCTCTAGTATGAGACTCCTCAGCACCGCGCATCCAAGATTCCGCACGCGGGATTCACGCGTGAATCCGAAGGTTCCGGGTTCGAACTATGCGTTCAAGGTCGTCCATGCCCACTTCTAAGGAGTCCCATACAAAAATTATCTTCAAATTTTATGAATAATCTAACAACAGAACTCCTTGTCTAAACTTTGTATTGTATATTATATGAATGAAATCAGTTCTAAGCGTTCAAGAATCTAAATGGAAAAAAATTTGGCAACTTTAAAGCTATGTCTATTCAGTGTATTTCGTCATGTGCTGTTTCTTAACAGCAAATGTAGATTATGGGCAGTTGAAATGACATTAAAAAGTCACTCATTGGTTTCATAGTGAAAGTTCAGTGTAATATTAATAGATACTATCATATGATAACGTGGAATTTATCAATCAGTGTATCATTGTAGGTAGATATGGGTAGTGTCTAGCAGTAGAATCCAGGATATGTGTTTCGTCCTATGTGAGACCCATCAGCTGTATGTACCTACCATATCCCTGAGTGGATGTTCACTATGGAACTCGAAGCCGATGCCGTTCACTTTAATCTCCAGAAAATATGAGAGAAAAACACAATTGAATGAGAAATCACCATTAAAAAAATTTGGTATCTTACCCATTTACACCACATCAATGATTGTAGAAGATTTTATTATAATTAACATGTAGAAAAAGAACAAATTATGCCTAGTTCTTACTCACTTACTTACGCCTGTTACTCCCAATGGAGCATAGGCCGCCGATCAGCATTCTCCAACCCACTGTGTCCTGGAACTTCCTTTCTAGTTCTATCCAACTTTTGTTCATTCATCTCATGTCTGTCTCTATTTCTCAGCGTAATGTGTTCTTCGGTCTTCCTCTTCTCCTTTGGCCTTCAGAATTCCATGTGAGGGCTTGCCTTGTGATGCGGTTGGGTGCTTTCCTGAATGTGTGTCCTATTCACTTCCAGCGCTTCTTCTTGATTTCTTCCTCCGCTGGAATCTGGTTTGTTGTCTCCCACAGTAGGTTGTTGCTCATAGTGTCTGGTAAACGGATTCGAAGTATTTTGCATAGACAACTATTAATAAATACTTGTATCTTCTGGATGATAGCCTTTTTAGTTTTTTTCAAGTTTCCGCCCCATACAATTGAACTGTCTAGTTCAACTATAGTTTATCACATGTTCAACTTCATTCATAATAGTTTCATTATTTTGTCTAGTTTGTTAATGTTCCAGTTCATGGTTTCTTTATTAAGCTAAAAATGTGCGTGTTTCCTGTTCAGACTGATCTTAGCATTGTTCCCATGTTTTTATTTCTTTCAAACGAAGTAGATAATTATCAAACTTTAATGTATGTAATATACACAACATCAGCTGATAATTTATTCGCACGTATTAAGTTCACACACTCACACACTGACTGTTTTCATAGTGTACATGGTATTTCAGTAAGTAACTTAACAACTAAAGTGAAAATATGAATATTCTAAACAAAAATGGATAGTGGAAAGCAGTGGAATCTAAGACGAGCACTTCGTCCTATTTAGGACTCACTAGCTGGATGTACCTGCCATATTACAGAGTTAATGTTCACTCATCATTTAGGATCCACAACACAGTATCTGTGGCTCACACCCAGAATCATAGGTCTTGCGCTCAAACTCCGTACCTCTAGACCAGTGACCTGATATCCAACAATGGTAATGTCTAACTTCAATCAATTCATTATATGAAATGAAGTTTTACTTACTAATCAAATGTGAAATGAACGTTTATTAAATGAAACTGATGATGAATAAGAATATCAGTAAGGGGTGTTGTGAGAAACTGTTGAATTTTATTTAGAATACGAACTGACGTAAGTTAGACAATCATTGAAAACTATGAAGCACTGGATGGTGACTATTAACCAACTTCGAAAAAATTCCGGAGTTATAATGAAAGATCGTGATTAGTGGGTTTCAACAGCATCGGTTGTAGGACATGTACTCACCGGAGACAATGCAAGATGGTTTCACATTATCTCACACTGACTGCAGTTAAACAAACATCCCTGGTCAGTGGTCTAGATTTTAAACGCTCACCTTGAGGCTTGAATGTCGACTGAATCCTACAGTCAAGCTACAATGTACCGGCTGCTAGTCTAAGTGACCCGACAAGGCGTTAACTATGTTCAGTTCTCATCGGTTACTAATTGATATGAGTGTGTCTCACAGAAATCAGATATACGTTTAACTGTTGGTGACTGACTTCGAGAGGCTTGGGACCGGCAGTAGCCCCCGGAGGAGCTACAGGCGTAGTCAATAAAAAAACGTATTTCTGAATTAAAACCTTAAAAATCAAGGAAGTCGCTTCACTTGTAAAGTATAAATAACCTTTCCGACTTAAATTTATGATCGAAATTCTTATATTCAGGTTTTTCTAAAAGGTATTCTCACAGTTAGTATTGATTAATCTGTTAAATTACTCTCTGTTGTTTAGATGCTTAGAGATGTCACTAAAAATACCTTTCTTTGATGATAAATGAAGGCAAGATAGATTGGAATTTCTCAACAAATATACATTCAGAAAGGGGTTTTGTGGAGATTGTAGTAATTTTAATGGTTGAATCTATGAGTCAATTAAAGCTAGACCACCATGGGAAACCTAAGGGCACCGGACAGCTGTTCCGTACTAGTATGATACCCCCAGAGGTGTGTACTCACAACCCAGCACGTGGGGTTCGAACCCGTGGCCTCCGGTCTCACACGCGACCTCTAGACCACTGAGTCACAATCCAACGGATTTCAATAACTAAATTCAATCAATCTATGATCTTGTGCAACCCTTTATCTATTGTCTTCAGTGAGTTACTATCTCACAACAGACCCAGTTGGACGGTGGCACGATATCGTGGATTGGTTAAAGTTAGACATTAATACCGTTAGATGCCGGCTCAATGGTCTAAGGGTTAAGCGTGCATGCGCGAGACCGAAGGTTCTAGATTCGAGTCTCACTAACGGGATCGTGGATGCGAACTACTGAGGAGTCCTTCAATGGGACGATCTAGCCTTCCAGTTCTTCCATAATGGTCTGGCTTTAATTGACTCATGAATTCAACTTTTAAAATATATATTCATAAATACTTTATTTTTGTAAGGTTAAATTCAATGAATAACAATTTGGAACTATTTATATAAATATTCATCAATATTAAAACAAATAGTTTGGCGCCGAATATGAAGAAGACATTATCCATCTGAAAATTATATTTGAATTGATCTCAGCGATTGAAATTAAAATAATTCCAACGTTCCTTCTAGCAAACTTGTCAACCTTAAAGAGATCCAGATAGGTTCTGTGAACGATTATTTCAAATATAATTTGAAACTATAAATAGAAATTTTTTTTGTTTAATACATGCTTTTATAGTTGAAATCATGAGTCAATTGAAGCTAGACCACGCGTGGAAAACTTGAAAGAACTGGACGACCATTTCGTCTTATTTTGGGACTCCTCAGGAGTAAATATCTGGAAATCCTAACTAGGGATACCAAACATGGTTACTTATTACTTGAATCATAAAAGTTAAAACATGAACTCATTTAGTCTTTGATCAACTCTAATATATGCCATTATTCTAATTTACTGACTTGTGAAACAATTAAAAGTCCTATACTGTTCATTGGTCATATATATAAACCCATTATGTTACTTCAATTCATAGAAGAAATCCCTAATTTTCTAAATCTGTATATGTTAGATAGAAATGATGGTTCATTTTAAATAATTCACCAAATTGTACTGATATTTATTTTGTTTCTTTTTTCCTTTTAGATATGAGATTACAGGATAAAACATTGTTATACTGTCCACCATATCATGATGGAGCAACATGTTGGCCACCAATATTAGCAGGAACTAAAGCTCAAATGCCATGTCCATCAAGCTATGAAGGTCAAATGTACAATCCAAATGGTTAGTTCTATATTCCTTTGTTAATAGTGATACTTTTATTTACATTACACTTGTTAGTTACTTCACTACATATACATAAGGGTTTTCAAGATAGAAATTGAATGTTAGACGTTACTGTAGAATTTCTCCAACCATTGAGTAATTTGAAGGGCAGCGATGAATCCTAACGGATTCAAATCCTTATCAACTAACTTCACGACCTGTAAAGTCATCAGTCAACCAATTGGATAGTGACTATATTATCAATCTCCCTAAGAAACTCTGAAATGACCATCGAAAAGATTTCTATCACAATTTATTGATCACTGGGTGGTGATCAATGTCATACGTATCAAGTCCTTCTTAGTGATGATCTAATGCTCAGTGGTAATGTCTCTGATTGTGAAGCTGAGTGACATGGATTCGAATCCGTCAGGGAACACCAGTTCCCTCAAGATTATAGGTACACTTTGCTGACAAGTGCCAAGTAGCACGAAACCCGGGTCCAGGGTTTACTGTTTATCACCTCCAACCACCATCTTATCTCAAGCAATTTCTATATATATATATATATATATATATATATATATATATATATATATATATATATATATATATATATATATAAGATGTTGCGATGCATTGGCTTAAACTAAACATGCAATAATTTTCAGTTACATTTAGTGAGCATCAATGATCTACTGTAGAAATATCTCGAACCAAGATGCGACAGGTTCCTTTTCTCTCTCCTTTCATCTCCCACTACTCCAAAACATAAGTCATGAAGGAAAAAATCAATCATATACTGATTAATTTCAATGATTAATAATGACAGAATTCAATCGAACTGAATAATTATAAGTATGGGGTTATGGAGATTGTTGAACTTGACTAAAATTACAAAACGATATAAGCTAGGCAACCATTTTAATCACGGAAGCATACATTCATCCAAGTATTGGACTCCCCATCAGTGCACATCCACAAATCTCCAACAAGGAATCGGACTCATGACCCTCGGTATCACATGCGAACACAACCTATAAACCAGTCAGTCGACATCCAATTATGTACAAGTCTAACTTCAATCAATCCATGATAGTGCACAACTATCCTCTTACACGGTTTCTTACTAGAACTCTGAAACTTTCCTCACAGACGTAGTCACTAATGACGAAATGCCTGTCCAGTTGACCGATAATTGTGTTCATCCAATCAGAATATTCATCAGTTGTAAAGGTTGTCATCAGTAAAAGTCAAATATTATATTGTTATTAGTAAATAACGATAGGGGCTATCAGTGGAATCTTTTGTATTCATGTTTCGTCTTATCTGTGACTTAGTTACTAGATATATAAGCATCCTAGTGTTGATGTTCACAAGCCTCGAATTGAACAGAAAACATGTATTCTCAATTCCATTGTTAATCACTTAAATAAGTAAGTTAAATTCATTCATTTACTAAACACTTGGTTATGATCCACAATCAAAGTATGAGGGCCAATGATACTAATACACGGTGATGATAGTATATTATTGTAGAGCACAAATCACAAAGTCATGAACACACGAAAAGAATGCGAATATAAATGCAAGTGAGAGCGAAAAATTGGATAGGATCTAAGATACACATATATCTAGGCAAGTGAATAAGTCATCGAGTGATTTTCAGCAAACAACATTTAAACTGATAAAACGAATATGTGTGTTGGTTAAAAGCAAAGATGGACAGCGGCTAGCAATGGAATCCAGGACGCACGTTTCGTCCTATTTGGGACTCGTCAGCTGAATTTACCTGCATCTCAGAGTTGATGTTCACTTTGGGACTCCAACCCAGTACCTTTCACTTCAAACGCCATCGAGTTATCCATCTTTGCTTATAATGCTTGTGAATTAAGGTTATATCGAGGCAATACACACAGTATGCACATATGCCAATAAGAGACTGACCAGTTGCAGTTCTAAACAACAATAGGAAGATTCAAACAAACAATACTAAGTGAATGTGTGTTGGTTGTACACATGATCAAGTATACATCATCATACAAACAATAATAATGATAATGCAACAACATAGATAAATTATAACTGGTCAAATGAATGTCTGTTCAATAAGTTAATTGAAGGGCCTAACAGCATTACATGTATACAGACTCAAGTTTAGGTGACTTACTTACTTACTTACTTTCGCCTGTTACTCCCAATGGAGCATATGCTGCCGACCAGTTTTCTCCAACCCACTCTGTCCTGGGTCTTCTTTTCTAGTTCTATCCAATTCTTGTTCATTCTTCTCATGTCTGTCTCTATTTCTCGGCGTAATGTGTTCTTTGGTCTTCCTTTTTTTTCCTTTGATGTTGAAGATTCCATGTGAGGGCTTGTCTTGTGACGCAATCGGGTGATTTCCTCAAAGTGTGCCCTATCCACTTCCAGCGCTTCCTCCTGATTTCTTCCTCCGCTGGAATCTGATTTGTTGTCTGCCACAGTAACTTGTTGCTGATAGTGTCTGGCCATCGGATACGAAGTATCTTGCTTAGACAACTGTTAATAAACACTTGTATCTTCTGGATAATGGCTTTCGTAGTTCTCCACGTCTCTGCTCCATACAATAGAACTGTCTTGACATTTGTATTGAAAATTCTAACCTTGGTGTTGGTTGACAATTGTTTTGAGCTCCAGATGTTTTTCAGTTGTACGTATGCTGCTCTTGCTTTGCCGATCCTCGCCCTCACATCTGCATCTGATCCACCGTGTTCAATGATGCTGCCCAGATATGTAAAGGTTTCCACATCCTCCAAAGCTTCTCCGTCAAGTGTAATTTGATTGGTGCATATTGTGTTGTATCGGAGAGTCTTGCTTTTATCTTTGTTTATATTGAGACCTACTGCTGCTGAGGCTGCTGCTGCACTGGTCGTTTTCTCCTGCATTTGTTGTTGCGTTTGTGATAGAAGAGCCAGATCATCCGCGAAGTCTAGATCGTCAAGTTGCATCCTGCCTGTCCATTGTATCCCGTGCTTTCCTCCAGTCGTTGACGTTTTCATGATCCAGTCGATTACCAGGAGAAAGAGAAACGGTGATAGTAAGCAACCTTGCCTAACACCAGTCTTTACTTCAAACGAGTCGGTGAGTTGTCCTCCGTGGACGATTTGGCAGTTTAGTCCATCATAGGAGTTCCGTATGATATTGACTATCTTCTCAGGCACGCCGTAGTGTCGAAGAAGCCTCCATAGTGTCGTCCTGTCCACGCTATCAAATGCCTTCTCGTAGTCAATGAAGTTGATGTAGAGTGATGAATTCCATTCGATTGATTGTTCCACAATGATACGTGGAGTTGCAATTTGATCTGTGCACGATCTATCTTTACGAAATCCAGCTTGTTGATCTCCAAGTTGGGCGTCCACGGAATCCTTCATCCTGTTTAACAATACCCTGTTGAAGACTTTCTCTGGTATTGAGAGGAGAGTGATGCCCCTGTAGTTGTCGCACTTGCTCAGATCACCTTTCTTTTGGTATCTTGATCAAAAGTCCTTTTTTCCAGTCTGTTGGTACTTGTTCTTCGTCCCAAATCTTACTGAAGAGGATGTGGAGTATCTTGGCAGTTGCTGTTACATTTGCTTTCAGTGCCTCTGCCGGGATGTTGTCTGGTCCAGCTGCTTTGCCGCTCTTGATTTGTCTAATGGCAATGCTGATCTCTTCAATTGTTGGTGGGCCAACATCGATTGGGAGGTCTGTGGGTGCTGCTTCGATGTTGGGTCGGTTCAGTGGAGCTGGTCGATTCAATAGTTCTTTGAAGTGTTCTACCCACCTGTTTCGTTGTTCTTCAATGTCGGTGATTACTTTGCCTTCCTTGCTTTTCACTGGTCTTTCTGGTTTACGGTAATTTCCAGCAAGTTTTTTTGTTGTATCATACAGTTGTCTCATGTTTCCCTCTCTTGCAGCCTTTTCCGCTGTTATCGCTAAATCTTCCACATATTTACGTTTGTCGTTCTCATGCTCCTCTTCACTTGCTTGTTTGTCTCTGCGTATTCGGCTTGTGCCTTGGCTTTTTCTACTCTTGTTCGGCTGATATTGATTGCTGCATTCTTGTTCCTCCTTTCTTCAATTTTATCCAGTGTACCAACAGTGATCCATTCCTTGTGATGGTGCTTCTTTTGGCCCAGAACCTCCTGACATGTTGAAACGATTGCCTCCTTGATACCTTTCCAGTTGCTCTCCATGGTAGTTCCCTCTCCATTGAGTAGATCATGAAAGGCCGTGAACCTTTTGCTGAGGGCTATGTTGAATTTGTTGAGTTTGTCAGCATCTCGAAGAAAGGCCGTATTAAACTTTTATGATGTTGTCCGCCCCGTTGTCCAGTGCTTCTTGAGTTTTAGTTTCATCTTGGCGACCAGCAAATGATGATCGGATGCTATATCAGCTCCTCTTCTGGTTCTCACATCCTCCATCGTCCTCCTGAACTTTTTGTTGATGCAGATATGGTCGATTTGATTCTGTGTAGTGTGATCCGGTGAAATCCAAGTGGCTTTGTGTATGTTTTTGTGTGGAAATATGGTGCCACTTACGACCAGTTTATTGAAGGCACATAGGTTTGCAAATCTCTCACCATTTTCGTTCCTCTCTCCCAGTCCATGTTGTCCCATGACGTCTTCGTATCCAGTGTTGTCCTTTCCAACCTTAGCATTGAGATCTCCCATCAGAATTAACAGGTCTTTGGTTGAGCACTTCTCAAAGATCGACTGCAGCCTATCGTAGAATTGGTCTTTAGCGTCTTCATCGTAGTCGTTGGTAGGCGCATAGCATTGGATGACGTTCATTGTAATGCCCTCTCTCTTTGTTTTGAAGGTGGCTTTGATGATCATTGGTCCATGAGATTCCCGTCCAATAAGTGCATTTTGTGCTTTTTTGGACAGCATCAATGCAACTCCTTGTGTATGTGGGCATTTTCTTCTTCATGACCAGAGTATAACAGAAGTTCTCCTGAAGACAGTCGTTGTTGTCCAACCTGCGTCCAATGTGTTTCACTGATTCCAAGTACCTCCAGGTTGTATTTTCTCATTTCTGCAGCAATTTGGAAGGATCTTCTGGTCTCCCACATTGTCCGGACATTCCATGTACCTATAAAAGTTGTTGCTCTGGTTGTAAGAAGGTGCATCGGTCTCATGACTTCCGAATGAACTCGGCTTTCATCATGAGACGTCATAATTATTCCTTCTACTCCCAGGGCAGAGTTTAAATGGTTTGAATGATTTTTTCTGGTTAGCGTTTTTTTTAGCGAGTTGATTTTCTACGGGGTGGGGTCGCTAACCCCATGCCCAACCCTCCTCCTTTACCCGGGCTTGGGACCGGCAGCAATCCCCAGAGGAGCTACAGGTGGAGTTAAGTTTAGTTGAGGTACTACAAAATATACATAGTTACCTGTCTTGACTCTAACACTGTTATTGACTCCGTACGTTGATAGTATAGAGACTTATTCAAGAAATTGATTTGTAGGCAAATTAAATCCTACATACTCAATAGAATATCCATTAATCTACTGAAGTATCGATTCATTAAAGAAGTATTCATAAATCTAACGTCCATATCTTCATATTTCCTTCGATTATGTCTATGACACATAGTTGTCATATAAATGTAAATATATCGATTAATATTTTTCATAGTTGAAATCATGAGTCAGTTGAAGCTAGACCACCATGGAAAAACTAGAATCGGTTGATCACTAGTAACTGACTTCGAGAAGTAAATCCAAGAGTTCTAGTGAGAAGCAGTGACCAGTGGAGTTCAATCACGTCTGTTGTGAGATAACAACTCACTGAACACAATTCGTGAACGGTTGCTCAGATTTCGTGGACTGGTTGAAGTTAGACATTAACATCATCGGATGCCTGCAGGCTCAGTGGTCTATCGGTTAAGTGTTCTGGCGCGAGACTGGTAGGTCCTGTGTTCGAATCTCGCTAGGCGGGATCGTGGATGCGCACTGCTTAGGAGTCCGACAATAGGACGAAACGACTGTTTAGTGCTTCCAGGTTTTCCTTGGTAGTCTAGCTTCAATTAACTCATGTTTTCAACTATGAAAAATACTGAGATCTCCACAAAACCCCTTCTTATATCGATTAATAATCATCAGTGTTTCTTTTTTTTAGAAAATGCAAGTAAAGAATGTTTAGAGAATGGAAATTGGTCTTCTAAATCAAATTACATACCATGTCTTCTAACCAGGGATTCATCTACTTTGGTAGGTTTTTCTTATTTCAATATTTAAATCAATTTAGGTTAGAATTTTATAAGACAAAAAACTGATTGGTTTAAAGATAAACTTTCAAAAAGAAATCATAGCTGTAAATCTAGTGGCTAATCAAAGGTCTAATGAAGAAAGTGAACAGCTCGATTCTGGCCCATTTAGTATAAACTCGTCATAGTGCTAGCCAATCGTTTTCAATTATTTATCAGGGTTGTCAGACTCAATGTCCTTCAACAGGAATCAGTAGTTATCCGGATTAAGAATTTGGAGCTATATGTACAAAAGAAATATCTTCAACCACTTCTCCACCCCTGGCCAACCTCAGAGTCAAGTAATTTATAATAATCTTAATTATTGAATGACTTAAATCGACGAATGTACTTAAAACCTTTCGTAGTCAAATAGAATTGTTACATAAATGGGGTTTGTGGGGACCGTAGTAATTTTAATAGTTGAATTTGTGAGTCGTTCTAAGCTAGAATACCATTGAAAACCCAGAAGCACTGGACGAAATTTTGTCCTAGTACTAGACTCCTTAGTAGCGTGCACCCACAACTTCTTATGCGAGACTCGAACCCAGGACCTTCGGTCACGAACTCCTAACCTCTGGGCAACTGAGCTAGCATCTAACTGTGTTATTGCATAACTTCAATCGATTCATGATTTTGCGCAACCATTAATCTATTGTCTGAAGTAGATACCTGTCTCTACCCGACACAGATGACACTTCATTGGCCACTAGCTTCAAGTTGCACTTCTGAAAAGTTCCATACTAAGACGAAATGGTCGTCCAGTGCTTCCAGATTTTCAAGTTAAAATTCGATTTAAATCATATTAACATTAACAACTTTTTGTTAAACAATCCTAACTTTAAACGAGGAACTTTGCTTTTTAAATCTGGCGAATTTTCATATCATCAACTCGGATATATAATTGTGGAACCTGAAGAGAATTTATCTTCCATAAAATGTTGTAGAAATCAATACCCTTATAATATAACTCTGATTTCCCACTCTAGTTTTCATTGTATGTGAATAAAGTGTAATTGTGTAAGATAAAGTATTGTCTGTTCTATATTGTCTGTTTTATTATTTCTATCATTCTCAGATTCATTTTGATAATCTTATGTCATTGTGATGAAATGATGTGGTAACGTAAAACGATGCACTAATGTTCAAGATTCTATGTTACTTATGACTGAATAACTGGATTGCTTGACATGAAAATCGCTTACTAAACACATTTATTTATTTATTTGAACACATAAATATTGGTAAAAGGAGGCACCAGATATATATGCGCCACACAAATCTCATTTGATTTGTGTGAGGGCTGTGATACTGCCAAGGTTCCCAAACCGAACAAGGTGGTTTTCATAGGGGGACACACTCGGAGCCTTTAACCTAAAGATCTGATCCACAAGGCAGTGAAGCATCGTGAGGAGATGTAGTCCCATGGTAGCCGGTGACCAACGATTGATTCATATGCCATTTGTTTCCTCAGGATACTGGAGTCTCTGTGAGCCATTGATTTGGAATCAGGGTTTTCCAACTCCTCTAGGTGGACTTTCCGTGTCCACCAACCCGGTTAAGGCACCAGACATTCGCTTTTCGTCCTCTCAATTTCGTAAACAACACCCCCGCCGGAGAAGGCAGTGAATAAGACTTCCCTGGCATTGATCATCATTGATCTCCTTCACTTGCATTTGACTCTCCATATAACCCCTATACAACGTGTAAATTCTGTCTGATTAGTATTAGCTGTTTTGACATCCTAATCGATACTACGTGCTATATTGCCCAATCAGGAATACAATTATCAACTAGTTCATCTCTATTGCCGGTGATCTTCTAAGTATTGATCGACGTATCGGCCAATGAATAATAGGCAAGACGCTGACGCTTATTGGTCCTCGAGCTCCATTTAACCCAGTAGCCAAGCAAAAGATCCAGATAGGAGGCTGTTCAGTTCTATTTTGTACTCCATTTTAATTCATGACTTGAAACTCACACAGCAATATACTTGAAATCCCTAATAATACACCACACCAAATGAAAAATCAAAATTTTCGACACAATCATACCATAATTGTCCGAATGTACTTTCTTAATGTTTATTTCTTTTAATTGAACTTAGGACTTAACTATGGTATTACGTTGTATATTTCTTACTGGATATTCCTTATCTTGTGCATGTTTATGTTTGGCTCTTATAATTTTCTATATTTTCAAGTGAGTTTATTTCATTTTTTTAAAAATAGAATTGGTAATTATAAAATTGATCAGAAGGGGTTTTGTGGAGATTTCAATATTTTCATAGTTGAAATCATGAGTCAATTGAAGCTAGACAACCATAGAAAACCTGGAAGCACTAGACGGCCGTTTCGTCCTGGTATGGGACTCCTCAGTGGAAGTGCGCATCCACGATCCCGCACTCGCGAGATTCGAACCCAGGACCTACCAGTCTCGCGCCCGAGCACTTAATGTTTACAGTATCAATTACTTTGTAGTTCTCACCATGATCTGATCCAAGTTAGATAATCATCAAAGATTAGGAAGCACTAGATATTTGGTTTATCCTAGTGTTGAACTCCTCAGTGGCAGCACGTGTTGTGTGTTCATTAGTAACTAATTTCGGAAGGAAGTTTTCTAATATCTAATGAAAAGTCGTGATCAATGGAGTTCAGTCCCATTGGGTGTAGAGCAGTAGTCCATCAATGACATCAGACAATGGTTGGCAATATTGTTCATCAACTGAAGTTATACATGTAAGCATTGGATGCCAACTCTTTCGTCTGAAGGTTAATCACTTGTTGAGAAATCTGGATGTCAAGCATTCAATCCCGTGTGGAGTTATAGATTCTTACTGTTAGGGAATCCCATACCATTGTAAAATGGCTGTTTAGCGTTCCCTGATTTTTAATGTTTGTCCAACTAAGATTAGCTTATGACGTGAACCATGAGACGAGATAATCTTCACAAAACCATTGTATCAACAGTATCAATAATTAGGGGATAGAAAATATTCTCAATTAAGTACAGTAATCAAATATTAATTCTTTCGTAGAAACAGAATAAAAAACTAATCATTAAGAGTAATAATTCACTTGGTGTTGTTTACTTGTATCTTAACATTGTTATTTATATGCCAACAAGACATTGATCAATTGCAGTCCTAAATAACCAAACAACATTAAATGAATTTGAACGTCACCCCATCGCACAAGCATGTGACTATCAGAACTCAGTAGCTAAGTGGATAACGCGATGGCGTTTGAAGCGAACAGTACTGTGTTCGAGTCTCAGAGTGAACATCAACTCTGAGATGCAGACACATCCAGCTGACAAGTCTCAAATAGGACGAAACGCGAGTTAAACTGCATTCCACTGCTAGACACTATCCATCTTCTGCTTACCTCTGATAATGCTTGATAAACACAATGCTTAAACCAAAAGTATCCTCAGAAGGGGTTTTGTGGAGATCTCAGTATTTTTCATAGTTGAAAACATGAGTTAATTGAAGCTAGACCACCAAGGAAAACCTGGAAGCACTAGACAGTCGTTTCGTCCTATTGTCGGACTCCTAAGCAGTGCGCATCCACGATCCCGTCTAGCGAGATTCGAACACAGGACCTACCAGTCTCGCGCCAGAACACTTAACCGATAGACCACTGAGCCTGCAGGCATCCGATGATGTTAATGTCTAACTTCAACCAGTCCACGAAATCTGAGCAACCGTTCACGAATTGTGTTCAGTGAGTTGTTATCTCACAACAGACGTGATTGAACTCCACTGGTCACTGCATCTCACTAGAACTCTAGGACATGTATCTTGAAATCAGTCACTAGTGAGCATATGATTATATTCAGAATGGGTTTTTGTGGAGGCGGGATCATTGATGCCCACTGCTGAGTAGTCTCATAATAGGACGAAACGGCCGTCTAGTGCTTCCAGGTTTTCTATGGTGGTCTAGCTTCAATTGACTCATGATTTCAACTACAAAAGTATTGATTGATTTCAAAAATTTAACATTCTATAAATCCCATCAAGTTGTCAAAGCATCGATTCATATATTTCTTAATCTTCATTTATATCTATTCAACTTCATCCCTATGATGACTAATTTACTTCGTAAGTTAACTTGTTTTTAATGAGATATGATTAAATGAATGTCTATTGTCTGATTAATTGGAGTTCCTGGACAAATATTTTTTTGTGTTCTCCATGTTCACAATAATCGATAACCAATGGATTCAATGAAATCTCAAGTAGCAATATTCTTGAATGTGTATTAAAGTAACTAAATCAACCGAATGACTTGTATAGAAGTAATAAACATAATGAAAATGTGACAAGACTGAATGGACACAGATGAATTGAAGTAATAGTGGAATTGAGTTGAAGCTAGAGTTAAATCTCTTAGTAATTGTATTGGATTTATAGGGACACTGACATTGAAATGTCCAGTATTTGTAACAAAACTATAATACTCTAAAATAATGTTATATCTAGAGCTCAGATTCCTTCAACACCATATAATACTTGAGAACTCGAACTCTAGAACCCTCCAAGTCGCAAGTTAGAAGATAGAAGACATGTGAGAGGGAATGCTATTCGGAATAGTGTCAAATATGGTATAAAACGCTCAGGTATTTATAGTTTCTAATGAAAACGAAATCATCATTAAAGTCATCTAATCCGCGTGCAGTGTTTTTTGACCATTTGTCTAATCAGGAAGCTACATGTCAAGATTCTGGAATGTCCCTTCAAATGATGATTGGATGATTGGATAGAATGTCTTTGGCTGTTTCTGAGCTTCCTAAAGCTCCCTTGAGTTCACCCGGGGGGAGCTGTTCTCATGAACTATAATGCAATGAACTACATTCAGTATTGCATTAGACATGTCAAATCCATATAGTGGTGAAATATGTCTAAAATGTCCAGATTGTAAATAACTCAAAGTGTCTTGATTAACAGATAGGTAGATAAACTGATAAACATTCATCAAAGTTAATCACATAAACTAACCAATAGAAGTGAGCTAATAAACTTAGCTGTCAAATGTTTGGTCTAGGTGTGTTATCGTGTGAATTTTCGACATTTCAACCATATCAGATGTGAAGAAAGAACTCACAGAAGTCAACGTTGACGGTGGGGGATAGACTAGAATTAAAGTTGTGCACTCAGTGGTTTAGAGGTTAAGAGTTCACATTCGAGATCAAAATTATTGGATTTGACTCCCCCTCCAGTGACAAGATTACGAATGTACACTACTGAGGAATCTCACCCTAGGATAGAACAAGATAACCGTCCAAGTTTTCAGTGGTTATCTAACTTGAATTGATTCGTAATCTTGATAAGATCCAATTATCTCCACAATGTTATTTTATTACTTCAATTGTACCCAGTTTTTATTGAGATGTGAACCATTTCTCGGTCAAGTTGTAGCTGTAAATAATTCACCAAAACCAATAGCTTCTTAAGTGTTCGACATTGGATGCTGACCACATTAGTTTTAGTGGAGTTATTTAACTGAAGGCGTTCGGTCATGCATCCTCACCAGATCACGTTACAACTCAGCGTGGGAAACATCTCCTACGTTCACCAGCCAGATTAGATCAACCGCTTCTCGATACATTAATAGCGCATCAAATATATCTTTCCAACCTCTTCGCTTCTGACTTCTGATTTTAACTGAGCGGGGCACGATCTGATTATAGGAGGTGTTACTGGTTAATAGTTTTCAAACTACAATACTGGTGATATCTTCAAAGTTAATGATATCAAATAATCATATTTCTCAATCCTCCTTCTGTCAACCTAACATATATATCTATCTTTTCTTTTCATATTTATGTTACAGATCTTTAAAATGTATGCGTAATACAATTCATTCCCATTTATTCGTAGCCCTTATGATTAAAGCATGTGCATGGTCTATTTCATACATCTTTGTTGAATTCACTGATATTAATCAATTCAAAGATGATACAAAGTTGACAATCAATGTAAGTGTATAAAGTTATTAAATTTTAATTATTTAACTTTACGATTATCAGAAGGGGATTTTGTGCAGATTCAGTATTTTCATAGTTGAAAGCATGAGTCAAGTGAAGTTAGACCACCAACGGTATGGCTCTGTCCTTTCATAACATTTCCCTTCCACATTTTAGTAGTATATCCATAAACATCACTGATAAAGTGTATAGTGTAAGTGTCTTTTGATGGACCATAAATACCATTTTTCACACAGCCGTATATTTGTACTTAACCGAAAGAATATAATTCTCTGAGTATATTATTTTTAATGCTAAGCTATTCAAATTTATTCGGCTAATCCAGATATATTTATACGATATCCTCCTCGCCAATGAACTAGATACTAACAAATTATGATCGACCGGTCGTTTTGAATCCTGAAATCGCCTATTTAGTACTTATTTGTCGTAGTTCCTTTGTATCAATACATTTCTGCAGGAATTTTACCCATGCAGTTGGTTTTTGTAAGTTCGTTCACATTGTAGATACCAAGTGAATTAAATTACTGATGAATCATATTCCAGTCCCTCCCCCATGTACTGAGTTTCCCCTTTATGGAAAACGTCATTTCGACATGTCAGCTTTTATAGAGGAATAGTCTTCAGATTGATCTGTTGTTAGACCAGCTTCAGTAGTCAACACGACAACCATGTTTTATTGATAACAGATCATCAAATTTTTCATATAATTGGCTCTCCATCGCCTAACTATAGTATCTGACGCCCCATAACCTTGAATAACTTGAGTTTAGACAGTCAGGATATTCTTTAGTATTATATTGTTTTCATCTACGTCGACGGTAGTGATCTTTGCGTAGGTAAAATTGGTACATTGTGTCCAAGAGCAACAGGGTAGGAAAAATAGATGATTCAATCCTCATAACGTTTAGACCCTCGTTTATCTTATTGCCACGAAGTTTTAGGAGACTGCATATGAAATAGGAATAAAATGTGTCAAAGTTAAGTTGTCTCTAAAGGTTACCTTATCAAAAATCAGAAAAATGATCTTTTATAAGTTTCATTTTCAATGGAACAAAGACCCATTCAAAAATTACCTTAGGATTTCATATGCGGATTTACGAGAATTGACTTTCCTGCTACGAACCCCAGAAATCCAAACATATTGTCAAATTTTAGCAGCAGTTTTGTGTTGGTCTTCTATCACATGAGCATAGTTGAATGGATGAAAGTCACTTTTCATCAGTATATTCGATGGGAAGTCATTTGGTTAGTTCCATATGGTAGATTTCCACTAAAGTCCGTCTCATCGCGCTTCGCTGTAGACATCTAAGTGCTAAATTAGCTTTCTCGATACCCCTTCTGCCACGATCGTTGAAGACTATATTTTGCATGGGCCGTTTTGTTAAGCTATAATTACCTACATAAAGCTTCGTAACTATCTACTGAACACTGATATTGATGACTCCAGAGCCTATGTTATTTCTGGGTTACACTTTAACCCTGCACCTTTTTTATCAATACCTAAAAGTTTGAAATGTTTCTTATATGTCCACTGATGCTTTGGCGGGTGTAAGTAGACTACTTATTTAGACCATAGACTTACTATCGGTGGAAATGAAGGAGGCAATGTAAAGTACTAGAACTTGTTCTCATTACTGATTGGACCAAAATTACTAGTCTTGTGATTTACTTAGCTGATTTTCACCTCATATGTATTCCACTCTCTAGTATCATAAACCTCCAGATGTGATCAATCAATCAGCGACAAACATTGTAATTCACGGTTTGGTAGTTTAGTTATCTTGTAATAAGCAAGAAAATGTTGCTGAAAACAGTGAGGGATTTAGATTCCATACTGAAGATGCAACTGGTGTCTAATAAGAAATCAATGCACTATTGATGTTGTGTTTAAGGTGAACCTCACTTAGTACTTTTTTGATCAAATGGACTTACTAAACGTAATGTTTATTTATTTATTCAACACTACACTATAGGTTAGGGAGTTAAAGGGTAGTGTTAAGACCTTGACACTGAAAGGAAGTTTTCTTGATCAACTCTGAGGTTTTGGCACTATATGCTACTAATTTAACGTTGGTGCCAGTAGTAAGTGAGTTTAAGTGGACTCCAAACGGTCTTGAGATATATAGACGAGAACTACTTATCATCTGACTAGTGCACAGACGAGAGAGGGAAGACGAGTTAAATTGAGCTATGCTCGATTTATTCCTGATTCAGATTAACTCTTAAGTACATGGGTAAATAACTGACTAAGATAATCACAACTAACAAGGAATTAAAAATACATTAATGAGAAAACCAGACATTAAAGTAGATAAATAAGGCACAAAAGTTGCTTTTAGACCACAACAAGTCTTCTGTGTACGAAAAAGTGACTACTTCTATGCCACTGAGACTTCTTGAACAAGCAGTAGTCGGACCAATCAATCTGGGATGTGATCATACTGCACAACGAACGTCATCAGCTTTCAGGTTCAAAAGGACCACGGTTCATCATGATATATCATATTGTCCCCACAAACTTCCTCATCTGGTTTCATTTTTAAGGACCACTCTCAATAGTTCAAACACACGTCCAAAAAGACTTTCTGTTTACTATGCTTTCCAAATATATACCGCTATGTCGCAACCATATAATGAAGAATCATTCATGAGTGATCACTAATCCTCGAAAATCTGCACACAGTGATCATATTTTCTGGCAATTATTTTAACCGCACAGTTCAACATCGAATTGATATATGCATTTTCAATCACCGCCCGGGTACCTCGTACTTTTATATCTGTACTCTTCACTCTTGAACTTCCCATGTTTCTTGATTTTATAAGCAATCTCCGTAAAGAACCAAGTATCCTAGCTGCAATCCAGCCCAGAAATGTCAAGTTGAAGATCTATCGAAAGCCGTAATGGTCTCACAGAAGCTTCAAAGAGGCATCACATCACAGTGGATACGAACTGGAGACGTAAGACCAAAATCTATGCTGACCGAATGACACTTAATGCGGGCCTAGTTACAAGTGATAAAACGAAAAGCTTATGTCCTATGCAGTCACACCTTCTAAACTGTCTTCAGAAAACTCAACCAAGGACATAACAGTGGTGCATCTCTACTTATTGAAACATGACATAAGGAAGGAGAAAACTCAGGAACATTAAACATTTCAGTCCTGTGAAACAAACATTGCTTCTATCAACGAAAAGAGCCACTCCTGCATTATTTAAGCTACAGAACTAGTTCTCACTATGCCACTAACCCAATTACGTTGCAAACTTGTCATAATTCCAACGAAAACCTTTTCAGGATCGTATACCAAAAGGTTAAACACCTAGATATTATCCGTATCACTTCTCTTTAACAACTTTCATTTCAATTCTTCACATTACTCGATAAGTTTTGAATCGTCACCTCATTGAATTCTAATAATCTGACTCATTATAATCCACTGGTTCCATGATGGTCACTGACACTGCAACCCTGAAGTCCAGTGAAAAACACTAGGAGAAAATGAAGTAGGAAGGTAAATATAAACGAAACGACACAAACTAACTGGGTCCGTGGAGTTTTACAAAGCTTGTGTCGAAAAAATGATTGGTTCATACAAGCCTATCCCAAAAGAAATCGACACAATAGTTCGAAAACGAAGCTACCGATTATACCAATTAGTGCCTTATAGCGGCCGTACGAACCTCACTGAAGGCAGCTGAAATGTTCAGAATCTCCTCACAGAATGACCAGTTAGTGTTAGAAAGCCAATTGGCTTATATTGTTTCGATATACATACAGTGAATATTGAGAATGGCTTATATTCGTTGACGTTTTCAAATCGTCAAGGTTTGAAGGTCACGCGGACAATTGATTTTAGGCTGTTTGCCTAAGTAGTCCTAGTAAGATAATGTTGGTGTCTGTCTATTCACAATACTCTTCATAAAAATGATTAAAAAGTCGCTATTCACGCACAAGAAGACCCTCATCTTTCTCCTGCTGGCTTGTGTTACATTATATATATTATTTTGGGACCGTCTGGGTTTATCCCCTAATATTTACGACCGTCCGTTACCAGATTACATACTTGCAGACAGTCGCGCTTCTCGTATTTATCACCACCGTCTTCAACTGTATCGACCGGAGAACAGTTCAAGCACCATCAACACGTTTGTATATATCCCAACAGAATTTAACGAGAATGAAGCCTACATATCGGACTTATTACGTCGTAATGGCTATGTTGCTTCTATCCTCTCTGAAGAGTTTGCTGATGAAACATTGTTTCCGAATCCCACTTTTTCCTGTACATGTGGTCGTGTAAGTGATCCTTGCATCTGTTGTGGTATTTTACAGCCCCAGGTTTCTGGTCAGTATCATCTTTCTCCAGATTTATACCAACCTATTTTGTTGACACCTGACAATACTAAGGCAGCTCACTTCTGCATGAATACCACTTATCTTCCCAACAAAAAGCAAATAAAAACTTCTGCAGTCCTTGTAAATCTGACTTCAAGCCAAGGCGATTTTTCCGGGAAACTAGATCCAGTCATTAAAAAATCTGACAAAAATATAATGAAATTTACATATTTGTCAACTGTTTTCGATACAGTTTTCTTGCCGTCATTTCCTCTGCCGGTAATATGTTCTGGTCATTCAAAAAATAACTATGTAGTTGATTTGTGTGTAAATTTCACTACTCTTGAATACAAGTTTGATTCAGACTCTGACCATAAAACTGTCTTCCATGCCTGTGCATCCATTCAAGTTGTGTTAAACAGAATGTTCATCATTGCTAGATATCCCAAGTTTTGTTTTGACGCCCACCGAGGGGCTGCTGGTGATGCAGATCAAGCGAGTGACAATAAGAAGTCTAATGTGAATGTACTTATGCATACATCAAATCACAGTGCTGACTATTCTTCAGTCAGCAGTAAGTCAAAAATCATTTCTTACGTTGAATCTTCAAACCATTCAAAATCTTCTAGTACTGAAATCTTGGATTCA